CAAAAATATAACGTTTCACGTGTCCTATGGGATGACTGAGATAAGAGACAGAATGAGAACATTTATTGGTATGTTCTCAACTAGCTAATCTAGTCCGATCGTAGGAACAAAGGAAATGCAGAATGGTTCTACAAAATTGCAGTACAACACATTTGTAGTTCCAATTCCATTGATTCTAGCGCCCTCGATTTGGTTTCCAATTTCGTCGGAATCCACGACAATTGCAAAACTTTCAGATACGTTTAGACAAATGGATGGGTGAAGAAAGACGAGTAACAAAGTTTTAGGTGGTGAGTGACAATATGTACATAGAAAATGCAAATTAAGAATTCATCACATTGATACATAACAATAATTTATAAATAGCAAAAAGTGTACGCAGGCACGAAAACACGACAGTGGGTCTTGGAGGTACTCTGTGTAGTAGAAAGGAAGCACTATATGAAGTCTAAGGAAAAAGCTTGCCTATCCGACCCACCAATGTGCGCATGTTTTTCGAATGCCATCAGTATGTCTTCAAGCTTAGTAAGTGCACGGTGTGAAGCTGTATAGATAAAGAAGAAATCGAAGATGGATCCCATCTATCCAAACTCACCGATGTGCCCATGTTTTCATAGGTCACCATCAATCTGCGTAACATGAAGAATATAACAGTATAGGCTGAGAAAATCAGATATAGATCTCATTTATCCAAGTTATCGATGTAACAATGTTTTCATAGGCCATCAATTTGAGTGATATCGAAGGATGTGGCAAAGTAGGATAAAGGAATGTGAGACAAAACTAACTTATCCAGCAAGACAACTTCATGATAAGGGCAACTGCATTACACGTTATGCCGGCAAGCCCTTCTCGGCATATTTATCTGTACTTTTATATTGCGAATTCCGTAAATACTTAGATGTTATCAAGCCCGTTCTAGTACACCCATTCATCTGTGCAACGGACACAGAAGACTTCTTTAACTTTATTAACAAGCAAATACTCTTTTAGTTGGACCTTAAATGTTCGAAGCGAAGATGTACTTTTGCTCGTTCTAGCAATCTATTCCAAAACGTGGGATATTTGTGTGTAAAGCTGTTGTACCGCAGACGTGCGCGACAACTAAGTAGTTTTATCACATAGTCTTTGTTTCTTAGGTCATACTGTAAAAATTCTTGGAACACCGGCTGATACTAACTAGTGTATGTTAGTCGAGGGAAAATTTTGAATAACAGACATAAATGCAGCCTTAGTCTTCGAAGCCATAGCGGATCAATTTTAACAACTGACTTCTCTCTTTATAAATGAGCTTGGAAGTGAAGCGTACGAATCTTTTGGAAATCGACCTTTGTGTAGCTTCCATTGCACTCGTGTCGCATCTTCTAATGCTACAAAAAGTTGTGGCACAGTATTCTAATAATAGTCCGGCGTACAGTTCGGATTACAGGATCTTAACATCACTTGTTATAAACAATCGACCTATCATTCCAATCGTCTGTCGTGTTTTAACCACCGTATACTCAACTTGTTCTTTAAAATTCAACGAACGTGAGTAACGGAGACCGAAGTCACAAATCGATCCGCATCTAGGGAGTGGGATTCCATGCAAAAACAAACATACAGGTGGAACCAAGCATCCATAGTACATAATGCTGCATTTGGATGTTGGAAATTTCATTGAAGATCTGACACACCAATCTTCCAGGGAAACTAGGTCACTTTGGATCGCAGATATAAAAGACGGGGGATTAAGAATCAGTGGCATACAAAATTTTTATATCATTTGCGAACAATTAAGGTCTATCATGTCTTATGGCGACAGTTGAAGGATAGTTTTGGCAAACTCTCCAGAAGCACACCTGTGTTTGCGCTGTACCTGCAGTTAGGTTGATATTTAGGGGTTTGGACGTGTTGAAGAAACCTGTCGAAATGTAGAATTGACGTACTCAGTCCAATCCCTAACTCGGTATATGCTATGGGCATAGACGGTACGGGTGAAACTAACCAAAATATTGAGTAAGGTGAATGCATGTAACGCGCATGTCTAGCTCCGATAGAAGTTGGAGAAATTAAAAACTAAATGGGGTGCTGTTTGCAAAGCATACGACCCGATTATTTGGTAGCTTACTCCTCAACTGAATTCAAATAAACGATTTCGGTTTCATATATATATATATATATATATATATATGCCTCATGCTGAAGTTGATGTTGCATATCTGATGCTTCTTCACGGCAGTTGGGCTAAACCGACACACTTAAACAAGATATTTTCACTTTGGCTAAAAGTTATTCCACTTTATTTGATTTGTTCAGTTTTGTTACTCTGCGGTATACTTTTTGTCAATTTTGCTCGTTTGCCTGCCCCTAACTCATGTGTTTGTTGTTTGATATTCCGGGTGAGACTGAGCTTGATGTGGATATTAATAAGATGTATACCTGTCTAACACCCTTCACACGATTACTGGTTCCAGGAGACTGTGAATCGTTGATGGGGACGAGGAGGACGAGATGCACGGTCCTTGTGGCCGTTCTAGACTCAAAATGAGGTTCCATCCAATGTTGAGCGGATATATATATATATATATATATATATATATATATATTCCTTGAAGATTAGTTCTCTACAGTGAATTTTGTGAACCAACTCACCGATTCAAATTCAGTATACTACTAACTGAGTAGGAAGGAAATTAGACGAATTGGCAACCAATAAAATCCAATCATCGGACAATGTACAGAGCAGCATGTGCAACTACGTCCTGTGAAATACTTGTCTGTCGCACTAATAAAAATGCATGCAGCCACTGCACATCAAAACTAGCTCCACATAGGCCCATAGAAATCGCTAAGGTATCCGTGAATACCCTAACAGAGGGTCAATCTGGATGAAACATAGTTACGAGTGCCAGAAATTTATATAAAGACAAGCCAATTTACTGACAACATTTATCTCTCAATTTACTCGAGTTTCAGTAGTTGCTGTCATACCTTTTACTATGGCGTATTGAAGATACCACCTCGATTGGTGGTGAAGCGTCTGCAACTATAAACTGTCCGGGTAGGAGGACCAGTTAACATGTCTAAGTGGGGAAATTTGCCGAGCAAATCAGGTGCAGGTAGTTTGAAGGTGGCCCGTGAGCGAGTGTTCCCTTCGTGTTCGCTCGGGGAAATAACCGACTAGCGCAAAACGTAAGGGAATCTTTATTCACCGCTAAATTCACGAAATAGTAGTCAATTCGTTTAGATACTTGGGTTACGGGACATAGGTCGTATCTTGTCGCTTCTACTGGGTTACAATTAGGTAACTCACATTGTGATAATACATCTTTAGAATCACTGGGATTTGGTGAGCTCCGAAACAGTAATTTACCCAGCCTGCACGTCATATTCTCTTTGGCTAGCATTGGATATCTACTCGTGAGAGAAGAATATGCTTAGGTACATTGTTGTGTGGTGAAAGGTCTTCTGTATTACAAGCCAACTGCGGTGTTTTCCAGGAGATCTTCTACCCCTTTCTTATTTTCCTTATGAGTCTTCTCATACGACCCAATTCGCTCAAATACACATATACAGATGACGTAGTTATGTGCACGTATAACCAACTAATATAGTACTCTTCGAAGACGCAACCCGAATTAGACGAATTCATGAACCATTCCAAATGTTGTGACGCAACGTTCTCTTTTCTCCACCTCGATAAGCCACTTTTCCTAATTGTAACTGATCAATACCTACCTCGTTCATCATCCGAAAAGTATCTCGGTGTTTTCTTGTCCCACAAATCGCCTGGTCCACGCATGTTATTTGGGCTTTTTGACAAGTCAGAATGCAATCATTTTACTCTCCGAACCTCAGCTTACTCTCCGTACCTCGGACTTTGCTTTTAATGTTTGTAACTGAACATATCTTCTTCCGTCGAGTATATTGTTCACCTGTCAATTTCCTAGGGCCGCTCGTTCACTCATTATAATTTACTACCCGATTCTCTGGAATAATGAAAGAATCCCTCGTTAATGGTAACGTTAACGTACATTTCGACGCACATAGTAATATTCCATCCAAAATTCTACACTATAATCTCATCCACAACCCACTGATTTTGTAAATACCATATTTATTACTTCCCCTCTGTCGAAATTCAATGTTTCATTTTCTCATACATAGTCGTGTTGTAATTTCACCTTGCCATATATACCATGATCGCTAGTCGACTCAATAGGAATGATGCACTGGTTCCCTGTTCATATGTTCGAATGGAAATGCGTTCTGTTTCTTTCCTTGCCAGTATTTTTATTGATGCTATGTCTAAACCATCCGCAGCGATTGGTTTATGTAAATGCATAGGGCTTGTTTTAGCATACTTTGATACAAGTTGGTACAAGCATTCTGCGTATATTGAGCGGACTGGGTTTGAGAACTTTGCTTCTATTCAGTGATAAAGCATCACACGACACTGATACTTAGACATCGGTTGTGATTAAGGCTAGTTCACACGATAGCCGCAGTTGATTACACACTGCACTCTTACGGTACATTCTTCTTCTGCATACCCGCTAGTTCAATCGCCTACCAGTCCTCACTGTCTGGGGGGGTGAAGGCCCAAAACATTGTATTGGAGCTTCTTATCACCGAGCTTCTAGCGCCAGTATTTAGAAACCGGTACGGAGTTGGAGATTTTACCACACAGTTATAGGAAAGCATTAAAAAATCTTTAATAATCCTGCTTCATTTCCAAACTTGGAGGTGCAGCGCATCATTCCCTATGTTTTTCCCGCATATACCATTCATGGTCGAGGTGGGTCTGTTTGCCCACTCAGCTGAGAATATTAGGGAAACGGACTGCTGGGTACCCTAACACCATGCCAACTGAGGATTCTACAGCATCGACTCTTCCCACCTTTGTGTTATTTTTTTTACCACAATGCACGCGTTATATTCTTTGCTAACATTTCTAATTAGGATGCTGCTTCACTGGTATATATATATTTTCCACTTCCCCCTTTACTTTCTCATAGTGCCCCCGAATATTACCGTTACCTCTGGACTGGTGCACACCGATATCGGAGCTCGTGAAAATGTCCAGGTAAGTGCAGACACCTCACGTACAATCCTCACGTTAACATTAATCGCCAGCCCATTCTGTTGATGAATCGGTGACACTGACAGAACTTGAGACGACAATGAGGTTCGCTAGTTTACCATACACAAAAATTAGTGATTGAGGTAGCCACCTGGGTTTGTACATGTAATTACACTCTCACGAATAGGGTTTTTAATGCTACATGCACACCTCGGCTTTCTTTTGCGTTATCGGGTTGCGAAATTACACCTTTTGATCAGGTCAAAATTGTCTGTGTACGTCTAGTGGTCCCCCATCGGGGACAACCTTCCATGCACGTGCTCGACAGTCCATACGCGGCAATCTCGGAGCAGTTTTGACCAGCCAACTGATGTGAAATGACGATGGTTGGATGCACTTTGTGATTAAAACGATCATTGCACGTCCTTTATGAAACGGTTTTCGTCAGGAACTACAGTGCTTGCCAAGGAAACTACCAGTTCTTTTGCACAACTAGATTTTCGGTAAGGAAGATTGGAAGATTATGGGAGAACCGCACACTGTACCAGTGATCAACTTGGAAACTATCCTGACTCTAGAATGTGTTTATTGGGCAAGGATATCGCTGCACGATTTTGAAATTGAGCAGGTACCTGTTCTAGCGACGTGTCATCGCGCAACAGCTAGATTCGGTTACTTCGTGGTTGTGGCATGATATTGTGTTTAGATAGATCACTTGCTCTTTATTGTCTTGTCCATCATTCACTCTTTATCTATTTCTTCACTAAGCAGCTAACTGTTGTTGTACAGTAGCTAAGTGGCAGTACAAAGTAATGTTTTACCGTAAAGAGGACAATGATGGTGTTGCTTAGGCAAGTTTACTAACTCCCTTCATCATCTTTGTTTATGATGGGCATAAAAGTGAAACGCATGGCAATAGCCGTTGGATAGTTAGGGTGGAAAATGCAAGCTGAAAAGTGACACTAAGAGAACGCACTACATACATGATTCACTAAGGGGTTTGCATAAGCACACGTGCGCGTATTCTTGCCTGGAGTTTAAATGGATTATGACACCTTCCACTATTTGTTCTGCACTAAATCCAACCGCTGATGGTCATGGACTATATCACGTAGTGTAAATATGGCAGGGTATCATCGAAGGGTTTTTGGATGGGGATAAGGTGGGGGTATTAATTACAGGCATTGGGAGGGCGTTCTAGGACGCTGCCCGATGCTGAGCGACCCACACACGTATGCAGCCACTACTAAAACTCAGCCTGAACACCAACCTCAGAAGCAATTGTCTGAAACTGAGTCGATAGCACAGGCGCCTTGATTGTCAACGAAATTACTTCTCTCTCCGGGTTTGCCAACCTTGGAACGCTGTTCCAAACTCATTTATATATGCTCCTACATTAGCTGTTTTCAAAAAGCGACTGGATATCGAATTGAACGCCCTACACTTTGTTACTTGAACGGGTATTCTGGATTTATTCTGGCTAACTAGCCACTTTGGAATTATGACTCACAGAGAAGTAGGTAAATTTGTGCATAGCGAAGCAAGCTGCTTTTACTTTCTATGAGTACTAATCACTACAACTTTTTGTTTGGTTTTGCCTGTACTATCTCACGCCCATAACAATCCCTCATAACACAATCACTCTATCGCTTTGCCCATCCCTTTTTTATTTAGTCTACTTATATAATAATTATATTTCAATTTCGTCTATTACCAACCTACGAGATATTAAGCCTGTTCTTTTCTACCCGTTAGAAACCATTGTTCCATTGCTACGTTAATATGCGCGTGGTCAGTCTCCATGTCTTCCTAATGTTTTCACCTCGAACTATCGGGAAAAGCACATCGAAAAGAGGAACGCAGTAAAACGTTTATCACCTTCGCGGTGGTCACAATGATTATAACCATTGTTGGTTTCCAATCTGTTTTCTCTGAGAAGTTTGGGACAAAAATGTAATGAAATTGTGAGTACCAACTTCTAAGGTGAACGCACCTTCAGTCTTCCCTAGATATAGTCGCGCTTCCCTGAGTGGCTGTTCGTTTTCAGCGCTCATTGTGGTGCAAACGCCAAAGGTACATGTGACAGCTTTTCAGCTGCAACTGCGCACGGCTCTATGGAAAAAGTGGACTTTCCTGAGCGAGCTGTGTGGTGTTTAGCGTTGGCTATGAAACCTTCTTGGGTGCGGCAGACAGCCGCTTGATCATAGTTCACGTAACCTACTGTAGTACGCCTTGCCTTCCTACGGGTTTTGTAATAGAAGTTCGTAAGCAAAAATTAACGTCCTTTGCAGACATCGGCTTGGTAGTTCCCTTTTAAAAAGCACAATGTCATTACAACAGTGAATCTAAAATCTATTCGGTTAACCTCGTCCATGAATACTTACGCAGGTTAGATGAATGGTGGAAGAACGTTTTATTTTTAAGAGCTAATCTTCCCCCTCTGGTGTCCAATCATGCGTATAAACTACTCGCTACCGATGAACTGTCTTTTATTGGCGCACGACGTCCACCTGGTAAAGTCTCCAGTTTTTGCCACGGAGATAGTTTTCCAGAAACAACCATAATGTTTGTTACAACGAACACATAAATCAACGTTGCCATGGAGTAAAACGTTGTTGCGACTATGTTGAACAAATCTGAAGACGATCTTGTGACATTTCAACAGCATTTCAAGCTTATTTCTCGTCCCACCTGCTTAGCCAAGTAGGTTGGCCAGTTAGAACGGGGTGTGCATACTTGTTTGCGCAACTGGGCTTTTCATCAGTTCAGGTTAGATCTCTCGTAATCAAGGACTGCACACGTTGCTTGACATTTAACAATGCGACTGTCTCAAAAAACCAGCTTTCTTTTGCTCAGCTTTATTTTATTTAAGTCACTTTCAGGTGTTTGTAATACTATGGTTTGTTTCACAACTTCGCTCTTTTGATCGTTAAATATTTAAAGTGTAAATGTCAAAAGTAAGTGGAAAGGTATCTATGCGTCCGATAAGTAACTCATAGCGAACAGAATTTTACCGTCCCGTTGCATGATTCACAATCTGGTCAGCCAACTAAACAATGTTACTGCTCTGGAACCAAAGGCTCCTCAATGCAACGCATACATAGCCTTGTGTCCTATCTAACTGATCTGCAGACAATTTAAAGAGGGTTCCATGCCTGTGAGTTCATATCCAGTGGGCACATGTTAAACACAACAAATCACGCCTTAGCAGCATACATGCCACCTAGACTGGTAGCGGCTTGAAAAATAAGTTGTGGCTCCAAGGGGGCAGCCATATCCTCAGTACATTCTTAACATGCATGACAATGGAGAATGTGCCGCGCTATATCGCAGTTAGAAATCAGTCATAGCAGTCCATTGCCGTTACTCATAGATCGGTGGCATAAGTCGCTGATTCGTAAGACTAACGTTATGCGTTCGGATTTGGCAGGATCCGGAGGATTCGCGCAACTGACGAGTTCCAGTAGGACTAAACGGCCGTTTAGCGCTTTGCTGAGGGTGCGGTTTCTGTCTGGCTGAGTCCAGCTTCGAGGAGTCATTACCAAGAACTTAAAAGTTGTTTGCAAGTTACTAATTGAATCCATCACGTCTAGACTCAGTCAGGAAGCCAACGCAGGTATAGGAAAGTAATGGACGACCAAATTTTCCTTCTAAGACCCTTCAGCAGCGTGCATTCCATCTGACTACGGTCAGATGGGATACACGCTGCTGACAATTCCTGAAACGATGGAACGGCCGTACAATGCTTTCCAGATGTATGATGGCCAATTGCTTGCGTATAAGTGGATGGATTTCAACTTGTACCACCTAAATCCACTTACCGCTACCTTGTGAGGTGGAAACTAACGTGAACCTAGAAGGTACTTCTCGATTGTGTCGTAAAGTTACCGAGAAGATCTGAAGTACTCTACTCGTGCACACACCTCATTTGGAGTATATACTGGAAGCTAATTTATGGGTAATTCTTTAGTTTGAACATATTGCCAAACCATCATTACTGTTTGAAAACCATCCTAAGGATTGTGTGTTTCCAGTCCTGCTATATATGTGCATGTGTGTGTTTGAATATTGAGTCTGTTTAGTTCAGCTCGTGGGTTTGCTATATTGTCCTAATGCTTTTTCATCTTAACGTCTACCTCAACTATCTTCAATAAACTTGCACACGTCGCTTAAGCTAATTATACTTAACTTCGATAACATTTTCGCGGGTATGGCATTTTCTTAAAAGATATTTTCTGACGTTTTGAACTTATCGCGGATTTGTTCGTAACCAATTTATTTTATACGCTCATTTAGTGAAGAGTTACGTCACCGTATCTGTACGCATTATCCGATTTATTTTATTTCATCTTGTCGTTTCAGGTGTTTGGCTGTTGCTTGATATCCCCGGTGTGACTGTGCTTGATGTGCATGTTGACAAGGTGCTTACCTGTCTATTACCCACTACCTTGTCCATACTGGTTCCAGGAGACAGTTGCTCGTTGCTGGAGGGGGCGGGTGCACGGTCTTTGTGGCCCTGCTAGGCTCCACATGCACTCAATGTGGAGCGGACTCCGGTCCAGCCACCGGCTTGTGTGCGCTTGATTCCCCAAATACAGCGTGCTTCTGTTTGCCTGTGAAGGAGTGTGGACCGACTCCGTTGATGAAACGTGGCTCGCATCAACATGCCTCTCGGTCTTATTCCTTCGGATTGGCACTGGATATGGGGTGTGTGGTTGGAGCTGTGGGTGGTGCAGCGCAAGCCACCCATGGTCCCGCTGCAGACGCAGGCGTCCTGTGGCTTGCCACAGTGACAGGCAAATCCAAAACCGGAGGCCATCAGCCATATATATATATATATATATATATATATATATATGCGCATTGCCTGGCCCACCTCTGATACAAATATTACAACGCCAATTGAGAACAATTCTAAGTAACGCTGCGGCTTACGATCACCTCAACCATAGCTAACAAGCCATGAATTGCGAAATCAGATCACCGATCTTATACATCACTCT